TTTTATTTACTGTAAGGTGGCCTGATAGAGGCAGTGAATGATTACCTAAAAACAGTAATGTACTCTGCCATTTTTGCTTTTCATGCCTTGATCTCAGCATGAAGTTCAAGATTTAGAAAAAAATTAAGATAAATGTTTTGGAGTATCTTGGGTCAGTTAGGCTGTGCATGTTGAGTAACATGTTGCCTCTCCTTCCATCATTCAGTACACACTGTTGATTCATACACATAGTATTCTCTCATTGGTAGGAGAGAGTTGTCACCTTTGAATATTATTCTATATTTTTCTTCTGTATCCTTTTTATATCTCTGTCATTATGAATGCTTTTGATCTAGATGCTTTGTCAGTTAAGATATTTTCATATGTAAATAACAGGAAATGCAATGTAAACTGGCTTAAACATTAAAGGAAATTAGTCATGTGATAAAAGTGAAAATACCTGGCAAAACTTGATCCAGGTGCTCTGGCAGTTTGATCAGAATCTTGGCTCTGCTTCCTTCATTTTTGTTCCATTTTCACCAGGTTCATCCATCATAGTTGCAGATGGAGCCTGTATGCTTTGGGGTTTAACTGTAGAAGAAAAGAGAATCTGCTTCCCAGAGCTTCAGTGAAATCACATGCTATTGAATCTGGCTGGCCCACAGTAGAGTCACATGTTAAGTTAAAGCTTTTTCATGACAATATGTGTAGTTATAAATGAAATTTATTTAGGAGAAGTATTGATTGTATACAACATTGAGATGGCTTCCATAAACAAGGTACTTAAGGCTGATATCTGAAGAGTGAATTAATTGGAGTTTCTAAGAGAAAAAGTGAGGGTTATTATTGCAAGCAGGAGCATTAACTAGTATAAAGGCCAAGAAGTCAGAAGAATTCTAAGTTACAAAATGAAAAGAAAACTAGAGTAGGCCAGAGCAGAGAGTGTGTCACGGGGGTCAGATCATTTTGATAATTCTGGGCTTTATTCTAAGCACATTGTGATATTGTGGATGAATTTTCAGCTGGGCAGAGATGGCACAATCATACATATTTTTAAAAGGTCACTGGCTTCAGAGTGGAGAGTTGATGAAGGTGAGTGAAGTTATTGTCACTTGAGGTAGGTAGGGAACACTGGAATATCATGACACTAGGGTGGGAAACAAGTGAAGGTAAATACCAGTTACTCAGTCGCTTCTCTGTGACATACACATGCTATATGTAATTAAGATTCTGCACAGATTATGAAGTAGATAGTGTTTCTTCTATTTCACAGCTGAGCAGATTAAGGGTATTTACTGACTTGCCCATGATATACTCAGATCTGAACTCTAAGATTGGTCTAAATACATAAATCTGGCTCTTTAGGCCACACAGTGGTCTCTTTTCATGAGTTGCTATGTTTGTTTCCTCTGAGCAGTGTTAATTATAGGCCTCACGTCTTTCAGCCCTGCTGGCTACTGTTAACCCCCTTTACTGCAGAGAAAATCAAATAAGGTTGTTGGCAGTATGACTGAAGTTGCTTCTGTTCTTGGGCCTTGTGTATGAAGCATCTTAGTACATTCCCTTCATGAAGTGTATCAGCATAAAATTGTAACACTGCACTTGTTCCTTTCCTTGAGGACTGCTCCCCAACCCCCCCAGCCACTACTCCAACTACAATCTCTTGAACATGGACCAAAAAAATTAGAAACTAAATTATCTCATGATAGTTATGTAATCTTTTGAGGTATTCTTGCTTCAGCTGCTTCAACCCCATATTATACTTACTTGACATCAGTATTGATTTTCTCTGTACCAGGGTTTTATCATTCATGCAGGGGCTGTCTGTTCCTTCAAGTTACTCAGCTATTTTTATTTTAATCATGTCATTCTGGAGTTACTTCCCTTGAAGATATATTCCTGCCATCATGGGCAGTGTAGCCTATTTTACTTCTCTGCCATTGCTTCATTATTCATAAAAATGAATTTTTCAGGGGTTCTCTGGTTTTTTATATTTTCCTGAAATCAGATCTAAATTTGTGTTTTAAACAGTGTAGTGTTCTGTATATCTTGTGGGTTTTTTGAAACTTTCATATTTCCTTCAAAGGAAAATTATACCAGATTTGTGAGGAAAATATGATGGTGTCTGTATCTGTTACCACATCTTTTCACCAGATGTGCTTGCCATTTACTTTCATTTTATGGGTTTTACCGTAAGAGATTTTTTGTTTTGGTTTGGTTGGCTTTGGGTTTTTTGCTTGTTTTTTGGTGTTTTTTTTGTTTGTTTTGTTTTGGGTTCTGGGTACTAAGCTCTAGATGAGACTATGTGTTACTTTCTCTCAGACCTAAAGTACTTTGTACAGGCCTGCAATCTCCGTTCCATAATACCAAAATCCAAAATGCATGAAAGAGGTTTTTCAGTCTTTTGGTACCAAACTTCCTTTGTCGACAATTCTCTTAAACTGTTTTTCCTACTTAGTGTGAATATTCATGTATTTCACCGCATTTGGTTATAGAATTGCTGCCTCCCCCCAAATCTCTCTGGTGATGTTACATAGTATATGGCATACCATTTTGCCTTTCAAAAATCCAAACAGATTTTTATGTCTGAAACAATTGGCCTTAAGTGTTTGGGGTCAGGATTGTGGACTTGTGTCTGTATCCCTAGCACTGGTTGCAGTGTGCTGTGGCAGTTTGTTCCCTTGTCTAAGTATCCTGTTACACTTTGAACTAGAAAGGTTTCCTCTTTGGACCCACAGACCGTAGTTTATTGGATACTTAATAAACAGCACTAAACAGAGTGGGTACTTAATACTGAAATTGAATACCAAAAATTAGGGCAAACCTTTTACCAGATAGGTTATTGAGCTACAGATTATAGCATGTTTTCTTTTTACTTAGTTACATGTTCTTTTTAAGCAGTCTTTTTCCTCTTCTGCTTCTTTCTTCTTACTGAAATTTTGTCTTCACCACTTACAAAGCACTATGTGATCTTGAACCAGCTTACTTATTAACACCTCAGTATATTTGTTTGTTCATTTGTAAAAATGGTGTAATGATTTTGCTTACCTCAAAGGATTGTTGTGAGGGCTAACCAGAATGCTTCCTGGAATTTAGCACTCCTTTTGCTGTTAACATAGCTGTTATTGATTCATATCCTGTTGGTTACCTTACTAACATATGGTCAGCCATTCTTTTATTGACTTTGAAGTCATTTTCAGTGCTTTGACACTTTTTAGCAATGCTGAAGTTAATCCTTGCATGTATGTTTGTAAGTCTTTGTGGTCTTATTTTGGGGGGATTGATTGAAGTGGGATTATTGAATTAGTAGCCCCCTAATAGTTTTAATTTTAGTGGATGCTTCCATGTTACTTTCCTAAGACAGAATTGAGGTGGGGGGTAGGAAGTGGCAGTTTTCAGTCCCACCAGCAGTCTTTAAGAGTGCTCTTTTACCGTAACCTTACCAGCAATGGGTTTATCAGTTCACTTTTTAAAATGTAATTATAAACTTATCGGAAATTATAAGAATAGTCCCATCTATACCTCTGCTTCCTCCAGTAGTAGCATCTTTATATAGCTGTCGTATGATATCAAAACCAGGAAACTGACACCAGTACAGTACTGCTAACAGAGACTTGAATATTTTGATTTCTCCAAGTCTGACCAGTGGGGTTTCAGTTTCATTTGTTTTGCTTTAACCACTGTTAAGTTTGGGCAGCTTTTCATGTATTCTGTTGGCTGTTTATACTGCATGTTCATATCCTTAATCCATTTTTTTCTAATTGGTTGTGTTTTCCTAAAAGAAGCTGTTTTAGGATTATTCATTTTTTTTGTCTGCCATTTGTTTTGCAGTTACTTATTCTAGCTTTGTATGTTTTGTGTTATTTTGTTGATGATATTTCTTTCCTGTACAGAAATGTTTATTTTTATTTAGTTACTAAGGTTTTCTTTTGTGGTGTTAGAGTTTTCTCTCTCATGTCAAAAGTTTGGTCTATCCTGTAGGATGCCACACATTTCCATTTAGAAAAATGAATTGATTGTGATTAGAAAGGAAAATGTTATATATAAATTTTCTACAGATAATTTATTATATAGCTAAAACTCCAGAAAATATGATAAATATATATTAGCTTCCCTGGTGGCTTGGTGGTAAAGAATCTGCCTGTAATGCAGGAGACCTGAGTTTGAGCCCTGGGTTGGGAAGATTCCCCTGGAGAAGGAAATGGCAACTCATTCCAGTATTCTTGTCTGGAAATTCTCATGAACAGAGGAGCCTGGCAGGCTGCAGTCCATGGGGTTGCAAAAGGTTTGACACAACTTAGTGAATAAACAACAACATATTAGAATTAGTAAACTTTTAATCAAGTTTCTACATAGAAGGTGAATATTCCAAAGCCTGTTTTATAAGTCTTTTTAAGTGATCTTATGATAGGTCTAAATATAAGAGACCATTATAATATAGATAAATATGGAATCATTATGTTATACACTTGACACTATAATGTTATATGTCAGTTATATCTTAGTTTAAAAAAGGCCATGGAAGTATGTTCTTTCCATAACTAAAATTCATTCTGGTGCAGCAGTATGGAAGGCGATTAATATTGTTTATTTCTCTTTGTGTTTTCTTTTTCCTCCCTGTTTTATTTATGAACAGTTAAGGCTTGTGCTAAATGAAATATATTAAAAAATTTTTTTTCAGCTTTATTGATGTGTTAACAAATAAAATTGTGAGTAAAGTAAAATCTTTACAGAATACTTCTGTGATCCTTCTGTGAGAGAAATTTTTCTTGACTTAAATGTTAGATGCTGAATTGAGATTAAGAAAATTATAAAATTATTTTTTCTTTTTGAATTTTACATCCATTTTCTCCATGGCCACCTCTCTAGATTTATAGACTTTTTATAGTTTATAAAGTGTGTTTTGTCAAATGAGTGTTGATCCATCATTAATTTTATCTTAATTCAGTGTTGCATAGACTACTGAGAGACTAGAAACTAATCATTGTGTTCTTTTTGTTTTGTTTTGTTTTGTTCGACAGTGGAACGTCCCCTCTTGCATGCCTGAATGCCATGCTGCACACAAACTCCCGAGGTGAAGAAGGCATCTTCTATAAGGTTCCAGGTAGAATGGGAGTATATACTTTGAAGGTAAATATTGTTGTTAGGGGGTTATTTTAAAAGTGAAAACAGGAAGTGACTACATATAAATAATACTTGAGTCATAGAGACAGAATTCTATTCTTGAAGAGCTTGCTTTCAAGAAGAAGTAAAAATTTCAATCCCATGTCCAGTACTTTTTTCTTTAATCTGTGGCCATTTGTAGGTAAGATTGGAGAAGTAACTTCACTTTTCATTCTCTGCCACAATATTATTTTGAAAGGATGGATTGAAAATTACTTCCAGTGACTTTTTAAAGGGCCTCACATTATTTAAATAATAATGAGTGTTACCGTGGAGCATGTAGCTTTAATGCTTTATACTACTTTCTCATTTAATTCTCTGTTACAATTCAGAACTGTGGTTATTATTTCTTTATTATAATGGAGAAAGCCGAAGTTCAGAAGATTGGATTTTCTTGCCCAGTGTTGGCCAGATAGTATTAGAGCCAGAATATGAATTCAGATCTAACTGAATTTCCATTTTTTTTTACCATAACAAGCTTGCTAATTTCTAATTCCTGCACTAAAAAGGGATCTTGACTTATCAGTGTCCTTACAGTTATAAACAGAAAAACCAACCCAAATGAACTTGAGGAAAACAGAGAATTTATTAGTTCACATAGCTCAAAGTTTTAGGGAAACTCAGCCTGAATTCAGGAGCTCAAATGATTGTCATCAGAAATGGGTCTCTCCACTTTCTTTTGGCCTCATTCCAAGGCAGGCCTTCTCCTCATCTACATGACTTCACTCCCAAGCCCCAGTCTGGACGCTGTAAGCCTGGGGAGAAGGAGTCTCACAAACTGAAGCAGGAGCCCTTTTGGTATTATTTTGGCTTACTTGGTATGGCTTGGTGTATGTGCCTGTACTTAAAGGATCACCTTTGCCAAATGTATTGAATCTTCTGATGGCCGCCCTTAGGTTCATGATCACCCTTGATATGAGGGTCTGGTTAAGCCCTCTCTAGCCAGATGGATTGAGGAGAGCGTTACTTCTCAAAGGAAATTCATCAGTAGTGACTTATGTCCACGTGTGTGCAGCTCTTCCCCTCTTACCTTTTTAGCTCCAGCTGTAGTCCTCCCTGTGCTCGGTGGTTGTGTGTAGCACGCTAACTTTTAAAAGATCTAACTCACCTTTAATACCTTCTTTTAAAACACCTTGTTCAACTTCTTGGGGTTACAGGGATCTAGCCTACATGGAGCTCTCTATATTTCTTTTAGGTTTTAGCTGTTGTAGACCTTCCATATTGCTAAAAACATTTATTAAATGACTACTGTGTACTGGACGCGTAGAGGCTATAAAGAAGGATAAATTAAGGTCCCTGATCTCTTAAATCTCACATAGTTACTGAAATAATTAGTGACAGAATGTACTATGCTATAAAGTACTGTTATAGTGTAGAGAAATAAAGATTCATCTTGAATAAAGGAATTTAGAAGCTTTTGTTTTTATTTTTGCTATTTTAAAGTTGTAAAATATGAGTTGAACTTTGGTAGATAAGTAGTGGGAGGAAGGGCCTTCTAGGACAAGGGAATAGGTTAAGCAGAGGCACAGATAAAAGGATTCAGAATGGATTTGGGAGTAAATTGGAGTGGTTAGACAATAATCTATGTGTGGGCTAGTGTGGTAAGGAGTCGGAGTGAGGTAAATGTTGGGTGAAGAACACACTTTGGAAGCTTTTGAAAACCTGACTTGCAGTTGGAGAGAGGAAGGAGAGAGGGTAGGCATTTGTAGAGGAAGGAGAGAGGGTAGGCATGTGTTGAGGAAGTGGCAGAGGTTTTCAGGAGAATAGCATGATCAAATCCATGTTTAGAGGATAATTCAAGTAGGATACACTTAAAGAGTTAAACAGGAAAACTTGTCAAAAAGATGATTATGATTGTTTAGAAGAGATAATTGAGTTGAACTGTGAGAATGATTGGGGCTTCCCTGGTGGCTCAGAGGCAAAGAATCTGCCTGCAGTGTGGAAGACTGGGGTTTGATCCCTGGGTCAGAAAGATTCCCTGGAGAAGGGAATGGCTACCCACTCTAGTATTCTTGCCTGGAGAATTCCATGGACAGAGAAGCCTGGCAGGTTATAGTCCATGGGGTCGCAAAGAGTCAGACACGACTGAGCGACTAACGCTTTTCATGAGAGTGCTAAAAGAGATGGAGGCAAGGAACATTAGAGAAATAAAATGTGAACTATTGGGAGTAAAAGAAGGGATACAGTGATTCTAAGATGTTGGGTGTGAGGTGATCCTGGAGCGATCACAAGTTTAAGAAGATAGTTATATTTGTACTAAGGTATTTGTAGAACTTATGGATCAAGAGGTCTCTTTGGCTACTAATCTGTAAAAGTTTCCTGCATTTTGAAAGAAAGACTAGAAAAACAAGAGACATGTATTTTAAGAAAGTGTACAACATGTGAAATGGCGCTGGAGGAAAAACAGCTCCTTAGCAGGTCAGAGGTTGCTGTCTTCTTTTTACTTTGTTGACCACACCCTGCGGCATGTGGGATCTTAGTTCCCCCATCAGTAGTTGAACCTGTGCCCCCTCCAGTGCAAGCTCAGAGTCTTAACCACTGAACCGAAAGGGAAGCCCCCAGAGCTTACTGCCTTGACTATAATGTTGTGAGTGGCAGTTGAGGTAGGATGGTCATTTGTCAAAATTATTTTTGATTTGATAATAAAAATAAATTATGTGGGAGACAGAAAATATATTGAGAGGAAAAAAGAATCATTCATAGTTTTATAACTTAGAAATAACATTCACTAATGTATTTATATTTTATATACTATATAAATACATAGTAGCCAGCTAATATTTACTGAACCTTATCATATGCTAGGCACTGTACTAAGCATTTTACATTTATTAACTCATTTAATTTCAGAATGATCTTTTAAGGTAGGTACTATTACCCATCTTACAGGGAGGCTGAGGCATAAGCGTTTAAGACTTTGCCCAAGGCTGCCTCATTAGGAGAAGATAAGGCCAGAATTCAAACCCTAGATTCTTAATTTTACAGCTTCCCTATTATATCTATCATCATAGTGTGGCTGACACAGGAATCGTTTCTGATTAGCATTCTCAGTATGCAGTGCAGAAACCAAAGATTCATATGATTTTTTTTTTTAATGATTCCTTTAATGATTCTTGCTACTTACTAGCAATTTTTGGAACCAGATAGGTTCAAATAATGTATCATCTCTTGCTGTCCAGACTTGTAACTGAATTTATAATACATAATGGCACTTATATACACACAAATATATATACATTATATGGATGGATGGGTATGCTTATATTTTAAAAAATTGTTATTGTATACATTTTATAGATTTCATTTCATCATTTACCTGGAGTTATATATAACAAGTTTTTGTCTAAGCCTCTTTGTTGTATGTGCATAAGATTTTCATGTATAATTTTTACCTTTGAGTATAGAAGGAAACAGTACCTAATTTGACACAAAGAAGAGAGGTGACAGGAATCAGAAATTCCTGGTTCTGCTACTGAATCTTACAATCCTAAAAAATAATCAGCACAATTGCAAATCACAGTAATGCATATCAGAAATTTAATTCCTGTTTGCTGAAATGGTAATGATTAATCCTAATTGGATGCCTACATTTTCAGAAAGATGTGCCGGATGGGGTGAAAGAGCTTTCAGAAGGTTCAGAAGAAAGCAGTGATGGTCAGTCAGATTCCCAGAGTTCTGAAAACAGCAGCAGCAGCAGTGATGGTGGCAGCAACAAGGAGGGAAAAAAGAGCAGGTGGAAAAGGAAAGGTAAATCCACCTGACCCCTCAATAAAAGACTGAATGCTGTAGGATAAATGCCCTTGTTAATAGTTTTTCTTTTTCCAGACCCCAGGTTGGTTATTCTCTTTCCCTTACTAGTTAGATCAGTACTGTCCCATGGAATTTCCTGCCGTGATGGAAGTGTTCTGCAGCTATGTTGTGCAACTCAACAAAGTAGTCACTAGCACCATGTGTGTTTTGAGCACTTGAAATATAGCTAGTGTGACAGAGGAACTGAATTTTTCACTTTATGTTAACCTGAATTTAAATAGCCACATGTGGCTAGTGGCCATCACATTGGACAACATGGCTCTAGGTTTTTACCTGGGTTTATTTTCAGCTCTTGGCTACCTATAACCCTTCTTAGGATGGTATTATGTTATTTACCTCTTAATACTCTCTTTGAAAATTTGAGGGCTTAATTGGTTTAACAGCTCACTCCTTACTAGGAAAAGAATGCTTTTCGTTTCTACTAGCAAAGACTAAATTTAGTCTGCTAGTCTTTGCCCTCATCTCCTGCTTGGTTTCTGCTTTATAGTTTACCCCAAACCGTGTTTTTAGAGAATAACATCTTTGTTGCTACAGCTTCCCTGGGATGAATTTTCCACTTCGAGATACATTTTATTACCTAGTCTTGATAATTATCTGTAGCTTCTTTTTCAAGAGTCTTTTTGAAGAGGGAAAATCATTTTTACCCCAGTATTGGTAAATTGAGCCATATATGGCAGGACAGATTTTAAGCCAGCTCATGCTGGTTACTTTATAAGGACTGATGCCAGAGCAAAATAGACATCCAAGAATTTCCCTAGCTTGGATATCCTCTTAGGTTTGAGTTATAGGTGAGTTGTCTTTGGATCTAGAATTTAGAGTTACACTTATTAGAGTAATTGACTCAGTTTTAAGTGCAGCAGAGCTATTGATTTTTGAACTGCATCAGAAAAGTCATCAGGTTTATTACCATTTCTGTGTTAATGTATGGACTACTTTTGGAGAAAATTTAGATAACTGGTTGTGTTATCTAAGTTCTCTCATAACAGCTGCTACACATGTTATTTGGACAAATTTTGAAACCAGGGGATCTTAGCTTTAAGATCACAACCGCTTAGAGAACAGCCCAGACCCTAAGTGTTATGAACAAATGGAATAAAGGCAAGACAAGATTGGGACCTGTGACCAACATTCCTTTTTTTCTTTTTAAAAAATTTCTTTATTTACTTGGCTGCGTACAGTCTCAGTTGTGGCACACGGGATCTCTGCTGTGGTGTGTGCACTCTCCAGTTGGGGATCGTGGGTTCCAGAGTGCACTGGCTTAGTTCCCTGATCAGGCACTGAACCCACACCCCCTGCATTGCAAGGCAGATTCTCAACCACTGGACCACCAGGGAAATCCTGAGTGTTCTTGATATGTATTTTTTAAAAGTAATCCCAGTCAGTAGTGAAGAGAGGTGTGTCCAGGGTCTTACGTTTCTTAGATTATACTAAAGGACCACCCCATCCCCTTTTTTTTTCTGTTCTTTTTTTGGAAGATGGAGCCAAAAGTACTTAGGCCTTTTTGTCTCCTCTGCTTCCCCCCAGTTTACATTTTTCTTTTTAAGTTTGGGAATTTGTTGATCTAGGATTAGAAACCAAACCAGGTCATCAAGCAAGAGAAACAGATTCATAATTTCTGGATGTGGCTGGAAACAGGGAAATCAGCATTAAAGGTGGTCAGTAAACTGGGAACAAAGTCACGGTTGTGTAGGTCTTTGCTTTTTGGTAGCTCCTAGGCTGCAGTAGCTGTTTCAGGTAGTGATTGTTATATGTTTGTGAAAGGCTATCTGTGAGGTAAATGTGATTACAGGAGGATTTAAGAAATAACAGTTGAACCCCATTCTCAGTAGCTTCAGTTCGGTCGCTCAGTCATGTCCCAACTCTTTGCGACCCCATGGTCTGCAGCACTCCAGGCTTCCCTGTCCATCACCAACTCCTGGAGTTTGCTCAGACTCATGTCCATCGAATCAGTGATGCCATCCAACCATCTCATCCTCTTTGGTCCCCTTCTCCTCCTCTCAGTAGCTTAATAGGTAGATTAAAATATTACAACTTTGCCCCATACTTGGCATAATAATAGAAGATATTAACATCAAGGTTATAGCAAATTCAAAATTGTAGTCAACATAAATTATTTTCAAACTGCCTCTGATGCATTCTTCTCGAAATTGTCACGGTATTAACTACTTAGCCTGTTTCTGTTGAGATCTTAAGATCTTTTCTGATTGTAGCCTGTTAAACTGAGACTAGGATGAACTTCATGTGGTATTTGGAAGGTGGAGATGAGAGGTGTATGTGATGTCATATGGAATTCACATTGACTCTGGCAGCTCTGATAGTCTTAAGAAATGGATGAATGCTAAGCTAGCAATAATAAAGAATGATTTAGTCTCTCATAGGATGTACTTCTCTCATTCTTGGGTCATGCATATGGCATAGGCATAGAAATGTATTTTTAGTTTTCTATTGTATACATATGAGTGTTTTTGTAGTCCAGTGCAAAGTACAGTGGAAAACTTGTAGTTAGCAGTGATAGTAGTAGTGTGCTGCAGAACAATTCTAAGTCAGTTGCAGTTATTAATAAAGGTAAAACAAATGTGTGTCTATTCCGTTTTCTTATTCTAAAGCTTTTACTCTCAATCTGACATCACTTTATTTCAAATGCATTGTAAGACAGGAAGAACACTGAGATAGTATCGAAACCCACTTCCTTTTATGTACAAAAATAAAGAGCTCTTGACAGCAAAACTGATACTTCTAGTTGGAAATCGATAGAGACTCTCTTGAAATAGGTATACTTTTCAGCCAGATAGGAACAGAGAGTAGAACCTTGAAATTCAGTTAAATGTTAAAACTAGTTTATTGATTTCTGTGTAAGGTGGAAGAACTTAGAAGTTTGTAGTTTTGGTTTCTAATTTCCAGACAGGAAACAATGTTCAGAGAAGAGCTTTATGGAATTCCAAGTCAAGGTAAGATGGAATAACACCAGAAAAATGATTAAAATCAACATTTTCTGTTGCTTTTTTGGTAGGATTGTATCTACGTGAAGTCTGCCTTTTCCCTAAAATACAATATTGCGGCATGAAATAGCTACATATATTATTGTTTTTATCTTCTGGTAAAATTATTTATTATTATTATTGTCTTTATATATTTTTAATAATAAAATTATTTTTATTATTTGTGAAAATTAAAACTCTCCCTTAAGAGAAGTATTGCTCTTTTTGATCATGAAAACGATTTGGGGAACTTTAATTGTTATCAGTCTTTCAACGATTAATCCTTTAACTGTATAAAGCTCAGTTTCAATTTTGATATTACTGCTCCATTATTTCTGATAGTGTCTTTAATACTTCAGAGGGTCTCACTGAATATCTTCAGGAGAAAAAATACTAAGAAATTATTTACTAATTCTTTTTAATTCAAATGCATCTAATATGAATAGTCCATTACCCTTTGGACCTTGTTCCATATGATAATCATTTGTTGAAATGGAAAATTCCCAATGCTGTATTGAAAAGTGGTACCTTCTGAGCTTATACCCAGTGTATGGTACAGATGTATCCACCAAGCTGAAACTACTTCAGTAAACTATATAAGTAAAACTGGCTTTAATGAGCCTCAAGTTGTAAATCACTTTGGAAAGCTGGCTTCTCAGTATATTATAGTTGAACGTGCATTAGAATCACCTGGAGAGCCCATTAAGACACAGATTCCTGGGCCCTACCTTCACAGTTTCTGGCTCAGTAGAGTTGGGTTGGGATCCAGTAATTTGCATTTTTTAGATAGTGATGGTATCATTCTTGGTACAGTACCTTAGAAACCAGTGTTTAAGACAGTTTAGTAATAAGAGCAAAAGACTATAAATTACTAAACTACTCATCAGTCCAGTTGAAGAAATTATGATACATCTGCACAGTGGAATTTTATGTAGCTATTAAAAGGAAGATCATCCTTCAGTCTCTGCCTCTGTCTTCACATGGACTTCTCTGTGTCTGTCTTGTGTTTAAGGTAACTCATCATTTGATTTTAAGACCCACTGGGATCATCCAAGATGATTTCCTTGTCTCAAAATCAATTATATCTGCCAAGTCTCCTTTTCCAAATAATATAACATTTCTGGGAGTTAGAACATGGACATGACTTTTGGTGGCCACCACTTAACCCACTACAAGTACTCACTCTTCTGAAACTATGCAAACTTCAAATGTTGGTTGTGCTCCTTACTACCTGAGTCCTTTTGCAGGCTAATTAAATTTCTAGATAAGGAAATTTTAGATAATACCATCACAATATGCAGATGTTTACTTAATATTTATATATAAATACACATCCTTGAAATTTTTTCATATTTTTATTTGCATAAAAAATGTCAACAAGGATACAAATCCAACTATATTATTTTGTTATCTCAGAGGGTAGAATTGGAGGAGATTGGGTGGGAGTAGAAAGAGAAGTTGTACCTACCTTATTGTTCAAGTCGCTAAGTCGTGTCCAACTCTTTGCAGCCCTGTGAACTGCAGCACGCCAGACTTCACTGTCTCCCAGAGTTTGCTCAGATTCATGTCCGTTGAGTTGGTGATGCCATCCAACCATCTCATCCTCTTCTCTTGCCCTCAGTGTTTCCCAGCATTACGATCTTTTCCAATGAGTCGGTTCTTTGCATTAGAGGATGATTATAAGAGTTCAATGAAATTCTGTTCAAATGAACCGGGCACAGCATTAGGCACATGATGTTTAATTTTTGGTTACTCTAAAAAAGTTAATGTGTCTTAGAGACAGTGTAGGCACTAGAAGGATTAATAGAGATGAGTTTATAAACATGTGTTTAAATCATGTTTGCTTTTTGTAGTTCTGAACCTTTAATATTTAAAAGTTTCATTAAAGTTGTGAGACCAATATTTGGCATTAAGTCAACTGGGAGATTTTCCTCATTGGAAGGTCATGGAATTTTCTTCATTTATTTTAGTTGGCTTCAAGATACGTTTATGGATTCATTTGCTAAAAAGGGGTTTTGCCTTAAAGGGAAACATTCCAAAGTTTTGCCCTGGTAATCACAGATAGCTTTATTGTCTGTTTTTTAGGCCACAGAATTCTTGCATTCCTTAATGGGGTCATTTTGGTTGGTTTGTTTTCTGTTTATTTTTAGATATTGGGGCAGTTGAGGACATGTATATTCTCAGATTTCTGCAAACCATTAAAAAGAAAGTAAATATAGTTAAATATTAATAGTTTTTAGCTTTATTTTCATAATGTCCATTAAAAACATTGGTCAAATCAAGAAGACAGACAATAGCAAGTGTTGACAAGAGTGTGGAAAAATTGGAACACTCATACATTTCCGATGGAATTGTAAAAATAGTGCAGCCGTTTTAGAAGTCAGTTTAGGACTTCCTTAAAAAGTTTAAACAGAGAGTTACTGAAAAACCCAGCAATTTCACTTTTAGATATGAACCAGGAGAGTTGAAAGCATATGTCCAACACAAAATTCTAATGAGTGTTCATAATGGCCAAAAAGTGAAAATGGCCCAAATGTCTTATCAGCTCATGAATAAAAAAATGTGGCATATGCATACAGTAGAATGGATAAAGTATTGATACATGCTGAAACACAGATGAACCTTTAAAACACTCATTTTTGTTTAAAAAAAAAAAAAGCCCACTACTAAAGAGGGAAGTGAGTTAGGGGGAAAGAAGAGTGACAGCTAACCAGTACAGAATTTTTTAATGGGTGATGAAAATTGATTCTGATGATGGTTGCACAACTTTGCAAATATTTTAAAAGCCGTTACATTTTACACTTCAGGTGAATTTTATGGTATAGGAATTGTATCTCATTGAAACCGTTGTTTTAAAAAATTGGTCAGCATCTGAGTGCACTAAGAATTTAGTTTTTTTTTGTTGCTTAAACATCTCAAGAATTATCCAACTCCATTTTTTGTTTTATATGTTACAATTAATGTGGTTTTGTTTGTTTGTTTTTTTAAACACCACACTTTCTTTCCCATATATAACCCCTCAGTAAGGGCTGGGATACAAAGCTGAAGTCAAGTATGATGAGTCTTCTTAATATTGTCTACTGTTGTCGTCATTTTTGTTTTTGAGTCTGAGTCAGTGATTTCTTTATTATCTTGTATCATAAATTATACACTGTCAAACTTTAGAGATTGTGTTTATTATAAATATAGACCCTTGCTAGGGGAAACCCCTCACGCAATACTGAGGTTTGGCTAAGTCTGATAAAATAGCTAGTGTGATTAGAGAGTGGTTCCATCCTATGTATACCTACACTGACTCCATCAGAAGTTCTAAAGCACCCTTGCACATGGGTAGACCTAAAACTATTGATGTCAGAGTTGAAGGAATATGAGAATTAGAGAACGGTAGTGTTTGAGGTGGAATGACCTTATTGCCTTCATTTTAAAGATAGGGGAAACTGGAACCCATTCTATCAATCCAGTGCTCTTCCACAATATCATGTTGTTACTAGATTTACCTTAAGGACATACATACTGTCCAGCAGGTTCTAGAATCTTTTCTAAACTTTACCTTAGTTGATGACTTACGGTTTATATTCTGCTTACTGCTTCTTCAATAATTCTATTGAAAAAATTAAAGAATAAGAAGTGATGAATACTAACATTCATCCCTTCCCCATCCTATCATCCTTTACTAGAGCTTTCTGAGGAAATAAACTTGAAAAGGGAGGCTGTTTGCAGTAGAACTCCAAAAAGAAGATCCTTCCCAAAAGTGTTTGGTCACAGTTCTTAATACAGGTAGCACTGTGTGATTGGGAAAGAAATGATGCTTGATATCACCTCTGATAACAAAACTTGGAATTGTCATTTTTCTCCTCCTAGTATCATCTAGGCTGTCACAGCCATCTTCTCCTCATTCGGGCTGCCCATCTCCTACCATTCCGGCAGGTAAAGTCATTTCTTCATCACAGAAGCACAGCAAGAAGGCACTAAAGCAGGTAACCGTGCTGTTCTGTTTACAGACGTGTCCTCGCGTGCATTAAAAAGGCGTGCTGCTGGCAGTCAGTGACATTAAGTCCTTTTAAGGAAAAATTTTGTACAGTTTCCCAATTTGTTGTTAATAATTTATGCACCTCTGTGTTATAGCTTTGTCATAGATACTCTTTTTAATCACATTTTAAAAGTTCCTCATTAGTTTCCAATTTGCTATGAGGGGTGCGTGTGTTACAAGTAGGTACTCTGTGTGTGTGTGTGTGTGTGTGTGTGTGTGTGTGTGTAGTGTGTGTGTGTTGCAAGTAGGTATTGAATTTTTTCAGATTGATTTTTTTTCAGCATTTATTAAGATGATCAGGTAACTTTTTAAGTCAGCCAGTATGCAGAATTCCAGGGCTAAATTTTCTAATGTTAATCTATAGTTAACTCTCTGGAATAAACCCTGTTATGTTTGCTACATCATTTTTAATACATTAGTGGAGTTTTCTCTTTTATGAGTTTAGCTTAGATTTTGTTATATTCTTGTACCATCCTTGTACAATTTTGGAATCAGGATTGTTCTTAGCATCTATTAAGTTCTGTAGCTCTCTGTATTTTTCTAGATGGTGAAAGTCTTGCAGATCTTACCTTTTACTGCTAGGGCGTTTGAATTTCATCTAGTACTACTCTTGATCTGATTCTTTTAGCCAATTTTGGAAGTTTATTTTTCTTAGAAAATGGTCTAGTTCACTTGATTTTTTTGGTCAAATATTGGTATAAAGTTGAACATAGTATTTTTGTGTGTTTTTCTTTTGTTCCTCAGTGTTCTTTGTTTATAATGTATCTTTTCTCAGTGTTACTTGCTGACTATTTTACTGGGCTTTTCAAAGAACTAGCTTTTCATTTTTTTGAAATGCAAATTATCAATACATAAAAATTTGTCTAATAAGAACACAGACCACTTCTATCCTTAGATTGGTATATATATATAATAGAGCTTAATTATAACATAAAGCACTGTCAAGTATGTGGGAAAATGACTACTTGTAGTTTGCTGATGGGATATAAATTATAGCTATTTTGGAGAAAAATTTTATAATATTTATTAAAATTTTAAGTGCACATACCCTATGACTAAGCACTTAAATATTTGGAAACTTATCTTAGAAAAATGCATGTATTCATACACAGAAAAATGTTTGCATTAAAGTTTGTAATAGGAAAAATTTACAAGTAGAGATACATACATGAATTACTTCATTAACAGTGGCATATCCATATGCTAGACAATTATACAGGATTAAAAGTTTACTTTGTAATGAAATTATTCTGCATAGACATATAAACATCACCACACTATAATGTTTAATCGTTAAAATTAAGATGTGTTACAGCACTTATTAAAAACATACATATATATCTGACATACATACCCAGAACAATAATATATTTTAATAGAAATATGAGTATGTATAAATGCACCAACACACACATATAAGGTAAGTGTAGAAGAAGCTCAATAAGGAGATATAAGTTGATGGCTATAACTTGTTACCTTAATCATGACATAAAAACTACTCTGTATTATTTTCTTTTGATCTCAGGAGTCAGATACTGTATTTTCTTCAAAGAATATCAATATGGGAAATTATGTAAATTAGATTGTTGATATGTAAAATAAGGTTTTGCCTCCTGTGTATGTTTTTATATTATTAAGTGAGAAAACTTACTTCAGTATAAGTTATCCTTTACCACAGTGAAGTTTTTTTTAATTGTTTTTTAAATTTTAAAATAAAATTAGGAACAGGGTTTGTATACTACTGAGGGAGGGGGAAACTGCAGTTCTTAAAACAGAAGCTGTAAGTTATTTCCTTTTTTATCTTATATCTGAATTTATGTGATCATAGCAGAAATAGATAAGATCAAGTAGCTCTATTAAATTTCGGATTAACCTAGAATGACCTACATACCTCGAATAGAAAGAAAGAAATACTAGTGGCTGCTACACAGGAAGCTTGCAAACATTTTGTATTCTGATTGCAAAGAATGAGAGATAAGCTGTCATCAGTGATCAGACAAAACTGACATTATGTTTCTGCCTCACCTATTATAAATGTTATAGGTGAAAAGTAAGCCAGATACCAGAGACTCTGAGTATTCTTTTCTCCACTGACAGTATAGATCAAGGAAATCAAGTGTTGCCACTGTGCCTATATGGCATAGCCAGAACTGCATGTGAGTGTGAAGTAGGAGAAAACCTTATTGTGAAGAAAGAATCGGAAACAAGTAGGCAGTTGGTTTTTCCACACTTTTCTACATGATGGTCTTGAAACTTAAAGCTTAAATTGACATTTTACTGAGGTCATAGATATTCAGCCTTTTCCTATGTAGTTTTAGTTTCCTTGTCTTTTTTTTTTTTGTTTTTTAAGCTCTTGAAGTAAACAGTTGCCTTTATGTATCTTCATGATTAAAACCTGGGAAGCTCTTTATTTTTCTGTTCTTTCTAGTTTAGTATATTCTATAAACTAAGAAAATTATAGAAATTAAAATATTTTGAAGTAACCAGAAGGAACCACACTTCTTATTAATAGAACCAGTGTTTTCTAATCTTCCCTCCCTTCAGTTTACCACATTGCTATAAATTGCTTTAAATCACTGAGATTCATTTGATCATTGGGCCAAATCTTACTGCTCAGACACAAGACCAAATTCAAGTAGTCATTTACTACTTTTTGTTTAACTGCAGCACCTCGAAGCATACATAAGGGAAATATTTATATTTCTAGATAAAGTTGATACAAATGAGAACTGTTCTTGGTTCAGGGCTTAGAATTCTGTTTTCAGAATGATCAAAAGTATCTAATTCTCTGCCACTACAAGTTTGAGAAATCCATGGCTTATTGGTGATTTTTAAGTTCTAAAAAATGTTAATGACAGTTTCTCAGATTTATATACAGGAGAACATTGGTAAAAGAAAAAAAAAATCAAATTTTAAGGCTCATTTAGGCCTGTGTTTAATTAGTTTTAATTGAGATTTTTGTTTACTTGGATAGATTTCACAGAAATTGTATAGTCAGCATGGTCCTCACCACTTAAAATGTCATTTATTATTTGTTATTACTAAAAACTGATTTGTTTCTTACAGTCAGTTTTCTCTTGCTAGGCACTAAAACAGCAACAACAGAAGAAACAGCAGCAGCAGCAATGCAGGCCAAGCATGTCCATCTCCTCCAACCAGCACCTGTCTCTGAAGACTGTCAAAGCATCCAGTGATCCTGTACCTGCCAAACCTGGTAGGCAGACCGAGTGTCTTTTCAGCGAAAGTTTCTTTTCCAGTATTTTTGTATACCAAACTCATATAGTCTGTTATTTATTTGTAAATTATTGTATTTATTTACATAATCCTTATACTGCCATATCCTCAGTATAAATCCTTCTAGGGTAAATGGGGAAATTTATGCAGAGTAATCATACAGTTATTTTAAAGTACATCATTGGGATTTGCATGTTAGAATAGGATCAGTGACTCATTTCCAGAATGTCTAACAATAATATTTGGAAGCCTCCAATTAGTAAAGCTGATGTTTCCAAGTTGCTCAAGCTGAACTCTTCACAAGTTCTCTCCTTGAAAAATACAAATCTTTCCTAAGAGTACATAATACCTTTGAGTTTCCATTGGACATATCCACGGGCCTTTGGATTTTCTGTTATTGTTGCTTATTTTCTTTTGAATTTAAACTGGTTGAGGTATAGGCTTTTTTATTACACAGTTCAGTTTAATGCCAACTTATTTATGGGTTTGCCAGATTTAAACCATGTCTTGTAGAACTTTACATTTTTGTTAGAAAGGAAATATACTACTAGAAGCAAATAATGTGCTGGGAGGAAGAAAGGGATTTTATTCACTTTTGACTCCTAATTCGCAGACTCAGAACACATTTGCAGGGTCACATTGCCTCAAACATAACTCATTTTGGTTTGTTGTTCAGTTGTTTAGTCACATCTGACTGTTTTCAACCCCATGGACTGACTGGAGCATGCCAGGCTTCCCTGTCCTTCACCATCTCCTGGAGCTTGCTCAGGCTCATATCCATTGAGTCAGTGATGCCATCCAATCATCTCATCCTCTTTCATCCCCTTCTCCTCCTGCCTTCAATCTTTCCCAGCATCAGGGTCTTTTCTAAGTCGGTTCTTTGTATCAGGTGGCCACAGTATTGGAGCTTTAGCTTCAGCATAAGTGTGTCTAATAAATATTTAGGATTGATTTCCTTTAGGATTGACTGGTTTGATTTCCTTGATAACCTTTTGGTTAGCATTGTATGATTTAATTGTTCTTTTGATTGATTAGTTTCTATCTGTAACTTCAGGGTTATATATTTTTTCCCCTAGCAATATGGGAAGGAAAGCAATCTGATGGACAGTCAAGCAGCCCTCAGAACTCAAACTCTAGCTTTTCTTCTTCTTCGGTTAAAGTGGAAAATCATTTGCTGGGCCTGGGGAAGAAGTCATTCCAGAGGGCTGACAGGCTCCACACAAGTAAGTTACTTTACTTTACTCAGTTCTCAGACATTAAATTGTCAACTCTGTGTTTGAAAATCATTACCTGCCAGGCTTAATTGCTGCTTCCTGTTCACCTTTGAGCTCTTATCTATTTTCATGTTCTTCCTTTCCTGCGTATCAAACTTCATTTCAGAATAAGATCTGTTGTCAGCCTTTTTGTGGTTTATTTTTCTTTCTGACAAGGGGTTTCTTTATCCAGCATTATTTATATTTTATCTCTGTATACATGGAAGGGCTTATAATTGAACATGGCAAACTGAACCACTTTTCCTGTTCCAAGTCCCACTAAAGCAAAAATATGGAAAAACGAAAGATGAAACCCTTAAGAGTAAAGAAAACAAGAAGATAACAGATGGACAGGCAACATCACCAAATTTTGAAAGATAAAAACTGGATAGAGTTTTTCACAGAGCTGAGGAGCAGGTGCCAGTAGGAAGCAAGCCAGCTGAGCCTGTAGAACTCCAGAAGGGTTGAAGAATTGGAGATACCTTGTCTTAGAGAAGATGAAGCATAGGGTTGGAAAGAAGAATCTTCTTTAAAAGTTAATAAGAAACAGTTTTGATGCCTTTGCTTAGCAGGATACAAGAGGTTTATTTTGAGGTGAAATTAAACCTTACAGACTTTAAATTTAGAGACATCACACGTAACAGATGAGGAGGCAGTGTACTGGAATCAGGGATATGAAGTAAAACACAAATACTGAATAGTGATCCTCCTGCTTATAGGTGTCCAGAATGTTAGCAGTGGGGCATGTTTCTATCTCTGTCACTTTGTTCCTCCTCCCCACCTAAGCATCAGCAGGAGATGGGGGGATTGGTACTTAAAGAAATTGAATAGCCTTAAAAAAAAAAACTGCGCCAGCAAATTTATTGATTGCCAGATAAAAGAGATCATCTGGAATCTACTTCTGTGCAGTTCACTGGTCTACAAGATACACCCCAGCACCAGAATTTTCAGTCAGTCTTCTAGGATTTGTTACTAGGGATCACCTTTGAAAAAAAACCTCCATCATGAGAGAATCTGAAATATAGACTCACAAAAGTAGAGATAAATCAGGAAGGAGAAAACGTTAAACAAATAACTTTAAAAGCTATGATATTCACAGAAAGACATAAAAATGATGTCGCATCCATGAAAGAACAGAATAATACTGGTTTAAAAATCAGAAAATAAAAGAGTTCCAGGATATTAGATACTATGGGAGCAGAGATAAAAAATTCTAGTAGAAGTACTAAAAGTTAGAGATTGAAAAATTTCCTAGAACATAGGTCAAAGGAGAGATTGAAAAAGAGAAGGTAAAGTAGGAACATGAGTCTAGCCTGTCCAATGTCTTAAATAGTGGAAATGTCAGAAAGAAAGGCCAGAAATTGAAAGGGGGGTAATAATGCAAGAATACAAGAAAAATAATGTGAGAAAATTCTGTAGAATTGAAAGCCACAGATTCCATTTATGTTTTAAACTGTGTTCTCAACTCCATCAGTGTCTAGAAAGACTGAAACCTTCCTATTGTGAACAGACTTCCTGTAACTGCTAAGCTGTTCATTGGTAACATTTTTAGCTGATACAGAGAAAATTGATGAAAATAATTATGGGAAGAGAAAAAGAGCCTCGATGTAATTATAGAGATATTTGAATTTTCCACTTTTTAGTCATTCTGTGTATGTGTTAAATTTATTATAAACTACCTCAATCCCATTGGGGAAATGATCAAATCTCAAACATAAAATGCATTTTTTAGTATGGCAAAACATTCACTTTTACAGACTTTATTCCAGTTTTGCAGGGTAAGTAACATTTTTTTTAATCTTTTATGAATGAACAAAACTTGCTTTGTTTATTTCTAAGAACCTTAAGCGTTACCGTCTTCATAGTGTGATATCTTAAAGTAATGACAGCCATGGCTTTTTTGCACTGCAGAGCAAGGTATAGTTTAGAAAGAAACAGGAATGTGAAGAAGGCGCAGGTGATTCTTCTCCATGTTTTTACAGGGCAAATGAAGAGGACTAAATGTGCTGAAATTGATGTTGAGACGCCAGACTCCATTCTGGTTAATACAAACCTACGAGCGCTAATCAACAAACACACCTTTTCAGTCCTTCCTGGAGACTGCCAACAGCGACTGCTTTTACTACTTCCAGAGGTGGATCGACAGGTGCGTTCTTTCAAGCATATCAGCAGTTTTCTAACCCTTCTGGGGCTTCCTTCAGCCATCGCCTTTAGAACTTCTTAAGATTTTTAAAATGGTTTTTGTGTGTACATGTAAAGAAGTGGTATCAAAGGTATTAATACACAAAATATTATTTTTTGTAAGTGTTCTTAATGGGTTGGCCCTGTAAGGCTTATAAAGAAAAAGAACCTCTTATCAGAAATGTCAGAAATTTGGAATAAAATTTGTCTAGCATTCATATTAGGATGCAGACATCCACAGAGTATAATTCAGAAGGAAGGATTGACATTACATGGGGTGTTTCAATGGATCTTTTGATTAGATCAAGAATGTTATTTTCATTTTTTGTTAAACTTTTTAAAAACACTTTTTGCTTTAACAATAAACTTATGATGTCAGCAAATTTGGAAAACCCAGCAATGGCCACAGGACTGGAAAATGTCAGTTTTCCATTATAATTCCAAAGAAGGGCAGTGCTAAAGAATGTTCAAACTATCAGACATTTGTGCTCACTTCCCATGCTAGTAAGGCAATGCTCAAAATCCTTCAAGCTAGGCTTTAGACTTGGATCAAGAATTTCCAGATGTACAAAGTAAGTTGCCAGCATTCATTGGATCATAGAGAAAGCAAGGGAATTCCAGAAAAACATATACTTCAGTTTCATTGTCTACGTGAACACCTTTGACTATGTGGATCACAACAGACTGGAAAATTCTTAAAGAGAGAAACACCAGACTATCTTACCTGTCTCCTGAGAAACCCATATGTGGGTCAAGAAGCACAGAACCTTACATGGAACAACAGACTGGTTCCAAATTGGGAGTAGAGTACAACAAGGCTGTATATTGTCTCCCTGTTTATTTAATTTATATGCAGAGTAAATCTTGAGAATTGCCGGGCTGGATGAGTTACAAGCTGGAATCAGAATTGCCGGGAGAAATACCAACAACCTCCTGTGCAGATAATACCAATGGCAGAAAGCGAAGAGGAACTAAAGAGCCTCTTGATGAGGGTGAAAGAGAAGGTTGAAAAAGCTTGCCTAAAACTCAGCATTAAACAAACTTAAAATCATGGCATCTGGTCTCATCACTTCATGGCAAATAGAAGGCGAAAAAATGGAAGCAATGGCAGATATTCTCTTCTTGGGCTCGAGAGTTACTGCGGATAGTGACTGCAGCCATGAAATTAGAAGACGTTTGCTTCTTGAAAGGAAAGCTATGACAAACCTAGACAGCATATTAAAAAGCCAAGACATCACTTTGCCAACAAAGGTCCGTCTAGTCAAAAGCTGTGGTTTTCCAGTAGGCGTGTACGGGTGTGAGAGTTGGACCCTAAAGAAGGCTGACCACTAAAGAATTGATGCTTTCAAACTGTGGTGCTGGCGAAGACTCTTTGAGAGTTCCTTGGACAGCAGGGAGATCAAACCAGATATCCTAAAGGAAATCAACCCTGAATATTCATTGGAAGGATTGATGCTGAAGCCGAAGCTCCAATACTTTGGCCACCTAATGCGAAGAACTGACTCATTGAAAAAGACCCTGATGCTGGCAAAGGTTGAAGGCAAAAGAAGAAGAGGGTGGCAGAGGATGAGGTGTTTGGATAGAATCAGTGATTCAGTGGACATGAACTTGGGCAAACTCCAAGACATAGTGAGGGTCAGGGAGGCCTGGTGTGCTGCAGTCCATTGGTTCACAAAGAGTTGGACACGACTTAGTGATTGGACAACAACAAAATCCAAAATAGGTTGTAGTCCTTAATAAAACTAAGTGGTACCTAGCAGAAACACTAAAGGTTTGGAAGAATCTTGGCAGGGACCAGAGAAATTTAAGTTGGTCAGGAATAAGGCATAGGTCCGAAACTTTCATCGAGGAAGGAGGAGTGACTAGCAAGTCATTCTCCCTTTTGATCTGTTTCCTCTTCTGCAAAAGATTCATTATGATTTTGTAAGGTTTTTTCAATTCTGTGGTCTCTTTAAAAGATCAATTATTTCCAAGTATGTACTATGTTCGAAGCGATCTGTTAGGCATTCCACTTTTTTCTAATCATTTAAAAACAGGATGAGAGAGATTTGTTTTACCTGTATTATAGTAAAAGAACTAGATATGTCCTCTAGTTTGTAGTAAGAGATTATAAGTAAGCTATACAGATCATTATAGCTATTTGACTATAAAGTCAAAACTAGATCTTTCTCATTCTGAAAATCATCTTTCTACTAGACTATATTGATACCAGTTTTTATATTGCTATGAATTAGCACGTGTGAAAGGTCAGATTCCATTTCTGGGGAGTCAGATAAGTCAGTGTAACACAAGCAGTAGGGACAAAGAAGTAATATGGATCCTTCCCAGCTGTTGCTCTCCCTACCTTAACATCTCTTGGAGAAATTACAGCTTTTGGGATCCCCAGTTCTTGGTTAGAACAAGTAAGGAGACTGAAGTTTTGGGAGAGTTTTTAAAGAACTTCTCTTCTTGCCTTGTATTGTTCTCATCATTTTTAAAGACTCAAGTTTGTTAGGTTGGGGCTAATAACACAAGACCTAATAGAGGGTCTATCTGTAGAACTTTATTGTGGGTTCCTCCGAACTGTCTTTTGACTAATGGTCCTTGTCCTCTGTTATCGAGGGTCCTGCTATGTTCAGTTTTGGAATTAAAAGGCACCTTAGAACTTATCAGCTTTCTGTTGAGTGCAGTCCTGTTGTGTATTCTTAATAGAAGGCTATTTGACTGTCGTTTTCAGTTACTGTGGTGGGAGGGCATGGTAATCTGAGAATAGGGAGTATGGAATTTATTAATGAAATTATTAGTGAATGTATTAGTGATTCTCCTTCATTGTCAGATGAAATTTGGAGTTTATCCAAAATTCTGGTTATTGTTAGCATGAAACATTGGAAACCTTATTTCAGTGTATGTAGTACCCAACAATGTAGAGTAGGAAAGCATTATTTCAGCCAGAGGAAAGACTAAGGAAGGAGTGTGGATTAAAACACCTCTCTTCCGATACATTTGAAGGTCTGTCTATGGAACAGGTAAACTTTGTTTCTCCAGGAAACAAATTTGGAGTTAAAATAACCTTTTAAAAAAATAGAAGTATTAAACTGTAGAATGGACTCACTTGTTTTGGAGTAACTTGCTCAACACTGGACTATTCAAGGAGATGTTGAGTGACCTGTTCTCATAGGAAAGTCAGTTACTCCTCTGCCAAATCTATAGAATACAAAGCAGCAGTCAGCAAACTTTTTAGCATGCAGGTCATTTTCAGCCCACTGCCTCTTTTTTTTTTTTTTTTTCTTTTTGCCTCTTTTTGTAAATAAAGTTTTATTGGTACTCAGCTGCTTCAGTTAGTTTCTGCATATTATCTATAGCTACAACAGAGTTGAGCTGTTGCAACAGAGGTCATATGACCTGTCTGTCTTTTAACAGAAAAAGTTTCTGCTCTAGAGCCAGAGGAATATCATCCTGACCCAGATAAATTTAGAAAGTAAAGTGAGTTGAGTTCCTTAATCCCTAAGATGTCCCAATAGTTACCTAAATTTTTTTCAAAACTTTGTGACTTTAAACTTAAAATTAGTCTGTTAATCCATCAAGAATATTTTTTATATTGCTCTGAAATTGTGGTTCAGTTTTATTTTCTGCTGACTAGATGGCCAGCTGTTCCAGCACTACATGTTTATATAACCATCCTTTTTCTCTCAATTTGAATTACCATCTCTGTTATATATTCTACTAATTTACATGCAGTATGTATTTATAGGCACTCTTCTCTTTCACTCATTTCTTTGTTCACTCTAATGCTAGTAATAAGTGTTTTGATTGCAGTGAGTTTGTGTGGTATGTTTAGTAATGAGAAAGGCAGTTCCCCTCTCAGTTTTCCATATAAATTTTAAAATCATTTTATTAATGAAGAATCTGGTAGGGATTCTGGTAGGAATCTAAATGTTACCTCTGAGAGAATGGCGGTTAACAAAATCGCAAATGTAAAGAAGAATCTTAAAACCTTTTGGCATGACATCACAGATCAAGTCAGTAGACAAATACCTTCAAATTATGTGGCTGTTTTACTGTGTATAACATGCAAAAGATTCTCACAAGATAAAGATAAGGAGGCTTATTGAATAATGAGCAAATGATAGGAATTGGCATTTCACTAGATGGCAAATCTAAGTAGTCAATAAATAACCAGAAAGATAGACAAAACTAGTAGTCAGGATACAGGAAATTTTTATCATTTCAAACTCATTAATAGAAGTTAAATAGTGTGTTAATATCTCTTGTTCACAAGATAAGGAGTATGCTCATATATTTCTAGTAGAAATGTGAATTGTTTTAGCCTTTTAGAAAATAATCTAACAGTCTTTAGATATATACACACACAGATATTTATTTGCTTTCAAAACCTGTCCCATAGATAAAAAGAACTAGTATATTCATCTTTATTGGAATGCTTATTGCAGGTTGTTGATTATGGGAAAACACTGGAAGCAAAGTGTATGTTTATGATTAGGAAATTGGTACATGAATTGAGGGACATTCATACAATGAAATAATCTGAAGCTATTATAGTGGAGCTAAAACTATGCCAGTTGACTTTGAATTTTGTGAGAAATTGACTTTGTACTATATGAGAAAAATAAGTCTCAGAGTAGTGTGTGTAATTTGTCACAGTTTTGGAAAACAATGAACTTTTTAGAAAAATCCTCTTATATATGTATTTATTTGCAGAAGATTCTTTAAGTATAATTAATCAATAGGGAATAGAATTGAAAGAAGAAGAGATAAACAGGAAAGAAATTTTTTAGAAAGAAAACAATATTACATTATAAAATAGAAGTATCCATAATCAGCATGGTGTGATTTAGTGTTGTTTCTGTAAAATTTAATGTACACACATTCTTTTCTGAAAAAGACAGGCACATCAAATTCCACATGTTAACATTCGGTTTTCTTCCTGAGCTTTCTGTGGCTTATTCTTTGACCCAGGTTGGTCCAGATGGTCTGATGAAGTTAAATGGCTCAGCGCTTAATAATGAATTCTTCACTTCAGCAGCCCAAGGCTGGAAGGAAAGACTTTCAGAAGGTAAGTGTTCAACTTTATGTGCCTCCTAGAATGTGTATGCATGGGGGGGGTGGGGGGGCATGTTGGCAGCTCTGAGCCTCAGTGGGTATTTGCCCAGTTCTGGAAGGCAAAGGACAGAACGTTTCATAGAGAAGAACTAGTTATTCTATGTGAAATACATTGCTAGACTTTTATCTAGAGTATGTAACCAAATTTGGCTCCAGATGGAGTTCAGCAAGATGTTTCTTCAAGGGTTTAAAGTTACCTGGGTAACTGAAAATATACAGATTTTTAGGCCCTGTTTCTAAAGATTCTGTTGCATTATTTCTAGCTTCATGCCTGGCAGTTGAAATTTTAATAAACAGAATATAGAATGAGTTATTTCATGGTGTTATGAATCATGGTTTGGTAAACAGTGAGATAACTTCTTTCTCACTGCCCCATATCAATGAAACTAACAGTAAAAAGAATTACTAAGAGCTTTTAAAAAATCTGCTTTATTGAGAAATGTTTTACATACTATAAAATTAACCCATTCGAGGTGTACAGTTCAGTGGCAGCTAGAATGCTTTAGTAAATACAATTACCAAGAATTCCTAACTGTGGTCACTGGTTTGCCATGTTTCTAATTCTGATCTAACAGTTTTACAGAGGGTAGATTATAAAGCATAAAAAGAGTAATTGACTGTTTTTGCATAGCATGTAATTATCAGTCACTATTAGCAGTTCTTAAGCCTGACTGCTCATTATACTCACTTGTGGTATTTTTTTTTATACTGACATCTGAGCCTCACTCTGAATGATTTTTGTTTTGCCTGAGCTTCAATGGGGTTTTTTTGTTTGATTTTTTTCTCCAAGTGATTCTAATGTTCAGCCTTTATTAAAGCCACTTTTTAAAAAAAATTTTTTATTTGGTTTTGGGGTATAGCTGATAAACAAACAATGTTGTATTAGTTTCAGCTGAACAGTGAAGAGACTCAGCCATATATATACATGTATCCAATCTCCCCCAAACTCCCCTCTCATACAGTCTGCCACATAACATTGAGTTCCATATGCTATACAATAGGTCCTTGTTGGTTATCCATTTTAAATATAGCAGTGTACATAACCTTCCCAAAGTCCCTAACTGACCCTTCCCCCTCAGCAATCATAAGCTGGTTCTCAAATCCCTAACTGTGCCCCCCCCCCCCCCCATCATAAGCTGGTTCTCAAAGTTTGTGAATCTGTTTCTCTTTTATAAGTTCATTTGTATCATCTCTTTTTGGATTCCATATATAACATGTAACTGTCGAGTTTTCCCAGCACCATTTGTTGAAGAGGCTGTCTTTCCAACATTGTGGAATCTTGCTTTCTGTGTCATAGATGAATTGACCATAGGTGCATGAGCTTTGGAAAAGGAAGTGGCAGCCCACTCCAGTATTCTTGCCTGGAGAATCCCATGGACACAGGAGCCTGACAGGCTACAGTCTATGGGGTCGCAAGAGTCGGACATGACTGAGCAACTAAGAATAGTACAGCATGGGCTTATTTCTGGGTTTTCTATCCTGTTCTGTTGATCTGTGTTTCTATTTTTGTGCCAGTACCATACTGTTTTGATGATTGTAGTTTTGTAGTCTGGTATTATTTTTATTTCAAATACTGTGTTTGTCACTGTGTCAATACACATAGAATACAAAGTAACACTTGAAAATTATGGGAGTTTGTGCCAAGGAATAGCTTGTGAAAACAAGTGTGAGAAGCTTTAAAATAAATACAGTTATAAGGGGAGCACTGGGAATGTTATTCATTGCTCACTTTTTGTCAGATCACTGATGGAGCTAATTGACCAGCTAATTAATATCTTTATTTTTCCTTATAGTTGTTATAGAAGTGATCACTATAACTGTGTAGAAGGGATCACTTACTGATTACTTTTGACCTTTCTCTTAAAAGATTTCCATGAGCAGAGACCCCATTTTTCTGAAAGAGTCAAAATCACTTGAGCACTTTAAAACATATCTATTACCAGTACTTTTTTTTTAAGAATGATTTAGATTTATGTTCCCTACTCCCCAACTTTTTAAAGTAGATATTATCAACAGTGCTACCTCTATTATTACATTACTTTTTTTTAATATGATCAGTCACTGCTATACCTATACATGCTATCATATTTTATGAGCAGCAAAAATTTTGAACACTGTACACATGTGAACAGAGTTCAGTACTGTTTATCCCTCTTTTTATTAAGCCCAGTAGACACAACCAAAAAGCAGAAACTGTGGGTGGATTCTGATGGCTAAATCCCTCTACTCCCACTCATATGCCCAAGACTGTGATAATATTAGATGTCCTCTAACACGTTTCCTTCCCCTCTTCTTATACTTCTAAGACCTAAGAGGTCTTATACTTCAAGTCTACTCTTTCCACTTATTCTTTGATGTCCTGGGTATTAGATAATCAACGGGAAACAGCCTGTCTCGGGCACAGGTTTTAAGATGGCCTACCAAGCCATGAAATTAAAAGACGCTTACTCCTTGGAAAGTTATGACCAACCTAGACAACATATTAAAAAGCAGAGACATTATTTTGCCAACAAAGGTCCGTCTAGTCAAGGCTGTGGTTTTTCCATTGGTCATGTATGCATGTGAAAGTTGGACTGTGAAGAAAGCTGAGCTCTGAAGAATTGATGCTTTTGAACTGTGGTGTTGGAGAAGACTCTTGAGAGTCCCTTGGACTGCAAGGAGATCCAACCAGTCCATCCTAAAGGAAGTCAGTCCTGGGTGTTCATTGGAAGGACTGATGCTGAAGCTGAAACTCCAGTACTTTGACCACCTGATGCAAAGAGTTGACTCATTGGAAAAGACCGTGATGCTGGGAGGGATTGGGGGCAGTAGGAGAAAGGGACGACAGAGAATGAGATGGTTGGATGGCATCACCGACTCAATGGACATGAGTTTGAGTAAACCCCAGGAGTTGGTGATGGACAGGGAGGCCTGGAGTGCTGCGATTCATGGGGTCACAAAGAGTTGGACACGACTGAGCAACTGGACTGAACTGAACTGAACCAAGCACATTCATTGTTCTCTACTGATGGACTGGGAAGGCTTGAGGTATGGTTGGTAGTATGTGAAAATAAATGGCATATTCAGAGCAGCTGAGTCTTTGGCATATTATGTCTTGTTGCTAGGGCACTAGACTCATATACTTTCTGGAGCAATTAGAAAACTGACACCTCCAAAAATAGCTCCCTACCTTTACACTGGAACCTCAAAATGTCTTTAAGCAGGGCCATAGCTGTTCATTATGCTGTTAAAGCTGCTGCTGCTGCTGCTAAGTCACTTCAGTCGTGTCCAACTCTGTGCAACCCCATAGACGGCAGCCCACCAGGCCCCCCATCCCTGGGATTCTCCAGGCAAGAACACTGGAGTGGGTTGCCATTGCCTTCTCTGGCTGTTAAAGCTAAAAGGCCTAAAATACAGGTTGTCTCAGAGAAAGTGAAAGCAAAAGTCACTCAATCATGTCCAACTCTTTGCCACCCATGGATTACACAGTCCATGGAATTCTCCAGGCCAGAATACTGGAGTGGGTAGCCTTTCCCTTCTCGAGGGGATCTTCCCAACCCAGGGATCAAACCCAGGTCTCCCACATTAAATAAAACTTAAATAATAAAATGTCCAATGTCATTATTTATTGAAAGCATATGACTTTTTTTCCAGTGGGAAAAAAAAGTTTATAAAGAATCTATAGGGAATATTTGGAGCTGGAAGGGAGTGATACAAGGAAAGCCCAGAGAAAAGCCCACTTAAACTCAACAGAGTACTGGATACTACATGGAGTGGTATGCAAATGTGTATGTTTCAACTTATGGCACTTAGGTAGTTCTCCCCTACAGTGAAGAATTTGGGGAAATTTCTGTTACTTTCACATGATAGTATTACTCCTTCATGACTCTTATCATGATTTACCAGTAGTGGAAAGCTGCAAATAACATTTTCCTATTGAACATCTCTTTTTTTTGGTACATTGTAGGTGAGTTTACACCGGAGATGCAGGTGAGAATTCGACAAGAGATTGAGAAGGAGAAAAAAGTAGAGCCGTGGAAAGAACAATTCTTTGAAAGCTACTATGGTCAGAGGTAATATCAAGAGATTTTGTAAACCAAATGTTAATTCCTATACATATGTCATGTGTTACTCCATCTTACTACCTTCCCAGAAAATCTAGTCTGCAATTTTCCTCAATTTTTTTTTACCAAGAAAATTTTTTTCTTCTTATAATTCTTAGGTACACAGAATTGGATTTCTTATAATCTTGTGCTCTTAACACATTGCCATTATAGATGGTATGGTTTCTTAAAAAAAAGAAAAGATTTTATTTTCTTGAATTAGAATCCTTTCTTTGGATAGATTGGCTTTTTTTCCAGTAACTTTTTAATATATAAGAATATAGAAGTTCTATACTTTTTTTTTTTTTACTGTAGGCAGTTATCCCACAATAGGATAACTTATCCAGAATCACTAAGGAATCCTATAATACATACCATAATATTAACAGGTGATTAAACAGCCTTTCTTCTCTAAAAGACACTCTGGGAGATACACATAGCTGAATCATGTTTATGATTCAGCTATGAATCACATAGCTGATATAGACCCTTTTCTTAAGGCACTGTAGTCTGAGTCTTATTTTTTGCCTCACAGAATCTTAATGGGAGGAATTCCCTAGCAGTCCAGTGGTTAGCAGTCAGCACTTTTACTGCACTGGCACAGGTTCAAGCCCTGGTTGGGGAACTAAGATCCCACAAGCCATGAAGCATCCCGTGCCCCGTCCCCCCCCCCCCCCACACCCAGAAAAAAAAACTTAATGGGGACATTTAATAGACGACAGTGGAGCAGTATTGTTTGAAACAGAATTGAAGACTCATGCCCAGAGTCTTACTGTCTGTCAGTTTCTCTTTCTTCCTTATGTATACCTAATGGCAACCTTTAAGGGTACGCTATAATCATAGCTTGAAAACAAATGGCTCTTTTCCTTACCTCCATGTCCTTATCCCCTTTGTGGTCATTTCAGAAGTGATTCTTAATAAAATGAAGAGCCCAGTACACTGGTTTTTTTACCTTCTCTGTGTGATCTTCGAGCTGTTCTACAGAAATCAAAGTGAATACATTTAGACCATGTTCATAGGTGGCAGTTATTCTGTAAATATTGTTCATTCCCTCCTTACTAGGTAGATAAAGAGTTACAGCCATTTTTGGGTCTTTCTGTTTTTAGCTGTTACTTTCTGCCAGCTTTTTGGGAAGGACTACATTTGATTACTGTACAAATTTGTCCTTAGCCATTCCATCTCAGGGGTACAGGACTGATTATTTGAAGTCACCAAAGAGGACTGTCTCATTTCTACTTGTACAGTATTCTGAGACATTAGGGGAAATCTGTAGTAAACCCTCCAAGGTAGTCTAGCTGTTAGCCAGGAAGTCCTACTTGGCCTTCATCCCCAAGATAGCTCAGAGATGCTTAATCTCAAAATTTTAGAGCTATACCAAGTAAAATTTAAATAGGCTTTCCAAAAATTCGGTTTTCATTTTCAACCTGTAGAGATTAGTCAGCTCTCCTACTCTCTCCTCTGGGGTTTCCTTAGATTTCTTGGGCCAGCCTTTCTACGGGTACTTCGAACAAAGCTGTTCAGTTCAGTCGCTCAGTCATGTCTGACTCTCTGCAGCCCCATGGACCGCAGCACACCAGGCTTCCCTGTACATCACCAACTCCTGGAGCTTACTCAAACTCATGTCCATTGAGTTGGTGATGCCATCCAACCATCTCATCCTCTGTCATCCCCTTCTCCTCCTGCCTTCAATCTTTCCCAAAATCAAGGGCTTTACCAGAGAGTCAGTTCTTCGCATTAGGTGGCCAAAGTATTGGAGCTTCAGCATCAGCATATTCAGCTTCAGCATATTCCATTGAATATTCAGGATTGATTTCTTTTAGGATGGACTGGTTTGATCTCCTTGCTGTCCGACAAGCTGATTATAGTCCGGACCCACAGTCCTGAGGGACATGGGTCTTTGGCTACTTTCACTTCTTTGTGGGAAGTCTGTGGTGCATGCCTCTAGACAATGTAGCTCCTTTGTAAGCAGAAGTAATAATTAACATTGAGGTTTTATTATATCCTAGATACACTGTTCTAAATACTTTACATGCTTTAGTTACTCATCCTAGCAACACTGTGAAGTGATTAGCCTCAATGTACTATTAAAGAAATGAGGTAAAAAAAAAAAGAAATGAGGTGGTTGGATAGCCTGACCGATTCAATGAACATGAATTTGAACAAACTCTGGGAGATAGTGAAGAACAGAGAAGCCTGGCATGCTGCAGTCCATGGGGTTGCAAAGAGTCGAACATGACTTAGGGACTGAACAACAACACTGTTAAAGAAACTGAGGCAGAGAGTCTAGTCACTTACTTAATATCACATGATAATAGGTATCAGAATCAGGACTTGAATCTAGGTGCTCTAGCTTTCACTAATACTAATAATAGTGATGATAATATATAAAGACTACCTGTTAAGTATCACAGGTTCTTCCAGATATTGCCATATACATTATCTCATAATATATTCAATAACATAGGCGATGTCTCAACTACAGTATTTTTTTCTTCCATCTTTTAGTTCTGGCCTGAGTCTTGAAGACTCAAAGAAATTGACAGCTTCACCCAATGATCCCAAAGTAAAGAAAACCCCAGCTGAGCAACCAAAATCTACACTTCCTTCAGAGGCCTCGCCTGTCAGTGTAGTCCCAGTAATTCCCCAGTTAGAATCTAAGGAAGAAGTACTGCAGATGCCATCACCAGTCAGAAAAGAAGAACATGAAAGCCAAGATAAGACGCAGCCACACTCCACAGAGCCCCGTCTTTCCCCAGCTACCAATACAGACGAGCTTAGCAGCATTCCTCCCATCAAGTGCCCGAAGGATGAGGCTCTTGTGGAGCAAAAGCCAGTTGCCTCTGCTGGACAGGAATCTGAGAAAGAGAATCATCTCACTGCACCTTCAAATTGTAATAAAAATGAAAGCCAGGAAGCTTTAGTTACAGCCCTGAGCAAACCCAAGAGTCCTGGGGTAGAAACAACAGTAATGAAGCCCACAGTAGAAGCAGGTCCACAGGAGACAACTATGAAAGAGCCTCCATCAGCTCTGGCTGATCACAGCCCAGAAAGCCTCAAGAGGAAATCTTCTCTCACCCAAGAAGAGGCCCCGACAAGCTGGGAGAAAAGGCCGCGTGTCACTGAGCACCGCCAGCACCAGCAGCCATTTCAAGTCTCCCCACAGCCCTTTCTCAGTAGAGGGGACAGGTTCCAGGTGCGGAGAGTGCCACCTCTCAAGGTAAGAGAGCAGGAAGAATTGAAGAGGAGAGATGGTCTGAACAAGTTTTTGGTTTTGCCTACTAAATTTCAAATGTTTGTGATGTTTCTTAATGTGGAAGCAGTGGTATGTATTTGATATGCATGTAACCATGGTCGTATATGAGTAAAATTATTCAAGAAACAGGCGTTTAGAAGTAGATCCTTACAGATCTTTATTGGGATTTGAATAGTTATTCAAATATCTTAAGAATCTAATGTAATCCACTTCCACCCACCCTCCCTGCTGGCTACTCCTGTATTTTAAGACAATTATGGAAAGTATTCTGTAAGTATAATAGTAAACAGGAGGAGGTCATTGATGTAAGAGATCATGTATCTTTGTATCAAGAGCCATGATGTTTAAGTGTACCTTGACCCTTTTATTGCTGCCATAACTGATTTGATGTTTTGAGTGTTTTCAGACCTAACCATGCATTCAGAATCTCCTCACAAGGTTTTTAGAAATGCATTTTTTCTCTGGGAGTTCTAATTTTTAATTTTAGGGATAGGACTTAGGGCACATATATATTTTTAAAGCTCTACAAATAAGTATAATGCCAGCAGACAGTGAGGATGACTTTGGTTCACAGTGTACACAATATGTACGTACTCCCTCTTGGGTGGGTGGGGTGGGTTACACATTGTCTTTCTTCTTGTGCTATCCAGTGGCCTCTGTAATTTGAGATAATTCAGCCTGTATGCTTAGCTGTACATTTGTGAGTCTGTAAAAGAGAACAAGAAATTTCCCCTGGACCTCGTAGTAAAGCCAAGAAATAAAAGACAGGCTTCCCAGGTGGCTCACTGGTAAAGAATCCTCCTGCCAATGCAGGAGACACAGGTTTGATCCCGGGATTGGGAAGACCCCCCCGGAGAAGAAAATGGCAACCCACTGCAGTATTCTAGCCTGGGAAATCCCATGGACAGAGGAGCCTGGTGGGCTAAAGTCCATGGGGTCGCAGAGAGATGGACATGACTTCGTGACTAAACTTTATTTTTTCTGTTGCTCTTCTCACTTTTACGCACATTTTAAAATGCAGATATCATGGAAAGGTCTGTATCTTAAATGATCAGCTGTTGTGAGTAGTAGTGACATTAAGACAGAGTTGTGTTGAGAAAAGAGCTTTGCAACTTTGGGTGGGAGTGAATGTCAATGGAGGAGAGCCTTTGGCACCAATAGAGGTGAAAGGACCCTAGAGACGGACCTGTGTGGCTGTCTCCATGGATTGGTCTCTTAGCCACAGGCCTCCCATCCTTGTCATAGTGTTCATCCTATTCTCAGAATTTGTGTTAATGAAGTTTTGTTACTCATATAAAAAAAAGCTAAGTTCTGTTGTTTTTTTCTCCCCTTAATTCTTTCAGATCCCGGTCTCCAGAATCTCTCCCATGCCGTTTCCTACATCGCAGGTCTCTCCCAGGGCTCGTTTTCCAATCTCCATCACTAGTCCTAACAGAACAGGAGCCAGAACCCTTGCAGACATCAAAGCAAAAGCCCAGCTGGTCAAAGCACAGAGGGCAGCTGCCGCCGCCGCAGCCGCAGCCGCTGCTGCCGCCTCAGTTGGAGGGACCATTCCAGGACCTGGCCCAGGCGGTGGACAGGGTCCAGGGGAGGGGGGTGAAAGGAGAACTGCTAGAGGAGGGGATCCTGACTCAGACAGAGTCAGTGAACCTGGCAAGAGCCCCGCACTGGAACTGGCAGGAACTGGAAGCAGGGGAGGTACGAGAGAGCTTTTACCTGCTGGGCCAGACTCTCAGCCCCAGTCTGAGACCAGGACCGCAGGCCAGCCACAGCCTCATAGTGGCCCTGGAGCACAACTACAGCAAACCCCCTCAGTGCCTCCCGCATCTGCCGTCGGTGGAGCATGCACAGGTGTCCCCTCAGCAGCCCACACTCATGCACTCCCGCCAGCTTTAGGAAAATTTAGTAATGAAAAACTAAATCCCCCCAGGGCAACAGGCACTGTGGCCTCTCTTAGCCAGCACCAAGGGCCCAGTAACAGTAGGCAGGAGAAAGCACCTCCAGCTCCAGTGGATCCTCCTCTGATGGCGGGAGCCTCACCTGTTCATTTTGCAGCCGCTGGCACAGTGGAGCCTAAAGCAGGTTCTAGTAAGAATGCCCCAAATCCTCCGGCCTCAGCAGAGATAAGTGCTAGCGCTGCAGTGGATCCAACCGCCTCCCCTTTAACATCTCTGTTAACGACAGCCACTTTAGAGAAGCTCCCTGTGCACCAGGTCAGCATAACCACAGCGCCTACCGGATCAGCTCCATCCTTGAGCACTTTGCCGGCAGCTTCTAGCCTTAAAACTCTGGGAACTTCTTCACATATGAATGGACCCATTTCAAGGCCAAGCTCTAGTATCCCTGCTAATAATCCTTTGGTAACTCAGCTGCTGCAGGGCAAAGATGTTCCCATGGAGCAAATTCTGCCTAAACCTCTCACCAAAGTTGAAATGAAAACTGTTCCACTCACTACAAAAGAGGAGAAGAGGGTAGGAGCACTCGTAGGTACCAGCATGACAGAGAACAGCCCCAGAGAGGAAGTTCACGAGAGACAGTCCCATCCAGCTGCACAGCACCTGGGTAAAACTTTGCAAAGCAAGCAGCCCCCCCAGGTTTCAAGACCCCTGCAGCTCTTTTCAGGTAAGGATCTAAGGGACTCTGGCATTGACACACACCAGTACCAAGAAGGACTCAGTAAGGCCACCCAAGATCAGATTCTTCAGACTCTCAGCCAGAGGGTTCGGAGGCAGAACATTCTCTCATTTGTGCAGCCCTCACAGTTCAGCTTTACTCACTCAGGTTTCCAGTTCGAGGACATCTCCACAAGCCAGAGGTTCATGCTGGGTTTTGCTGGCAGAAGGACATCGAAGCCTGCAATGGCAGGTCACTACTTACTTAATATTTCCACCTATGGCCGGGGTTCAGAGAGCTTTAGGAGGACCCATTCTGTGAACCCCGAAGACCGATTTTGTCTGAGTAGCCCCACTGAGGCCTTGAAAATGGGATACACAGACTGTAAAAATGCAGCAGGAGATAGTAGCAGCGGGAAGGAAGATGATACTGATGAGGAAAGTACTGATGATGAGCAAGAATCTGTCCTGGTGAAGGAGGAGCTGCAGGCTGCCCAGAGTTCTGGCAAGTGTGATGCAAGTTCAGGACCACACAGTAGAGAAACCCTGTCCACCAGTGACTGTGCAGCTAAAAAGAATGTGAAGGCAGAGACACCAGTGCCTGAGCAAACCCCTTTAAGTAAGGAGAATTACCTGTTCACTCGAGGCCAAACCTTTGATGAGAAGACCCTAGCCAGAGATTTTATTCAGGCAGCGCAGAAGCAGATGGCTCATGCAGTGAGAGGTAAGACCATGCGGAGCAGCCCAGAGCTTTTCAATTCTACGTCTCTTCCTCTGCCTGCAGACAGTCCTACCCATCAGTCTCTTCTCCTTCCACCACTGCAAACCCCAAAGCTGTACGGGAGCCCCACACAGATCGGGCCAAGCTACAGAGGCATGATCAACGTCTCCACCTCATCGGACATGGACCATAACTCTGCTGTCCCGGGGATGCCCGACTGTAGTCAGGTGTCTAGCAATGTTGGTGATGTCATGTCCTTTTCAGTGACTGTCACGGCTATCCCTGCCAGCCAGGCCATGAATGCTGGCAGCCACGGCCAGACCATTCCTGTCCAGGCCTTTCCTGAAGAGAACAGCATAGAGGACACGCCTTCGAAATGTTACTGCCGATTGAAAGCTATGATCATGTGCAAGGGCTGTGGAGCCTTCTGCCACGATGATTGCATCGGCCCCTCCAAACTGTGTGTCTCCTGCCTCGTCGTTCGGTAATGAGATCAGAAAGAGAGCACTCTGTAAAGGAGACAGGAATGGGGAAGGGTTGATAGATGTGGTTTTTGCATTCTTTTGGAATCACAGAAATAAACAAGTAGGTTTCAGTTTGAGTTGTCTTAAGAGACAAGTGTTACTTAATCAGGAACACAGAATACAGATCTTACATTTTAGAGAAAGAGCACCTTGTATAGTAAGTCCAAGTCGAGCAAGACTTTGTGAATTTGTGACAAGTTTGCACTTAGAAAATCATGTAAATATGTCACATCGTTTTAACATTTTTCCAGGTGTTTAGGTAATGATGTATTACTTTGACTTCAGATTGCTGTTCCACTTCATGTGACTTTTCATTTCATGTGAAAAGTTTAATGCCACACATGGTAAAAGGCAGCAGTTTCCCTTCTGCCCTTTCCTAAGAGGCTAGAGAAAGGAAGGAGTGGAGGAATGGTCTGAGGAAATGACTGTTCATGTTGATTATGTCTTGACAGTCTGACCGCAGGCTTTACATAGATTCTTCAGCCTTTGCAGAATTTAGATTGAGGGTTTACTCACTCCCTTTACCTAGGTGGAACCTGCTCCAGTTCTTATTTTTGATAAGGCATTAATTTCATAGGTAGTGTTTCTCACTCTGAAAGTTCTGAGTTGGTTCTTGGTTTCCACAGACCAGTCCTATTGCCAGGCATTCTGCTTGCAGTTTGTGAATCCCTGCCATTCCCTAATCCCACTTCTTTGCCCTGAAGAAGAGAGTGTGAACTATGAAAGAGTTGCCTCACTAGACCCCTGGGGTCACCATCACCTGTGCAGGGCAGTAAGTCCAGCAGTAATCCCTGAGGATTTAGTCATTCATGGGAGCTTACAAACAAGTTTGAAATACTAGTAGAAAATTAACAGAGAAGTGTCAGTGATAGGGTGTTTTGTTGGGTAAGCAGAGTAAAGGTGCAGAAATTGTTAAACTGAATTTAAGGAACTTTGGAAGACAATATTAACACTAGAAACAAAGTAGCCCTTCTCTCTCCCCCTCTTTTCTCCAACCTGTTACCTAATGTTCTACAGTCAGCTGTATCTACAGGTAGAAAAACTCTTTAATACCACATTTGCCCCATGCTGTTATATCTGTTTTGACCTCCCAGGCATTTGAGGAGCATGGAAGTCATCTTAATTATATTACTTTGAACATATATGTGTGGCATACACACTGTAAAAGTCAGACACTTTTCCTCTTTTAGAAAACATGTCCCCTGTTTTGGATTACTGCTGTCTAAACATTAGAAGTTTCTAATGTAAAGGGGCTTTAGTGAATGACTAAGGGAACATTTAGAAAGGAAGAGATAGTGACTCCAAATTTTTGTTCGTTCTTTTTTTTGTTTCCTTTTTGTTGAATCCTGTCTCATTACTGAAGAATTTTTGAATACATGTGTTTAGGTCACGGTTAAAGAACATGAAAATAAGTCTACAATTTACCATATTTGGTATTAAAAAGTTGGGGATTGTCAGTGTGCATCGTTTGCATATTGATTTCAGATCTCCTAATTTCATGTGTGTAAAGAACATGTATTAGTGCCACCTAGCACAGTTGTCATCGTGCTTAATATTCAGGATGTGATATATACAAAATGCAGAACAGTTTAAACTCCTTAATTAAGGAGTCACATTCCAGATAGGGGAAAGTAGACAGTAATAATCTTAGCTTTGCCCCCATTGTACTACCAACCCCTCCCTACCTCACCCGTCAAATTATACATACACTCTTAATACTTTCAAACCCCACAAGAAACTATTTACTTTTGTTTTTTGTTTGTTTCTGAGTTTTTTATGGCCCAAAGCAAATAGAGGGTTAATATCTGTGTTCTATTTCAGCCAAGACAATTTGATGTTCTTCTAACTTCCTTTTTCTTCCAGCACACACATAGCTAACACATAAGAAATCTGCAAGGATCCAAGGATAAGGAGCAAGTTCTCCAGCCAGTAACCAGTAGAAATCAGAAACCATGGTTCTGTTCTCAAATTGTCAGTGCCCTGGGTAATCCCAAGGGGTGTTTAAAAGACCTGTTGATAGTTAAAACTCTCCACTCCCAGCTTTCTCACTCCCCACTTTAGTGGCCGGACTGAGGGATGGCCTGCCTGCCTGCAGTGGTTGACTGTTTCAGAACTGACCCTACGGTGAACTTGAACGATCAATTTGAATTTTCAAAATGATTTTTCTTCTTCACGCCTTTCCTATCATAGAAAGTCTCTCCTCCACGGTTCTCTTCATCTAAGGATGGACAGACTAACCAGGAAAGGAGGAAAGGCATCAGGGATTTTCACGTCCGTTTAGAGAGCAAACCATATTGTGCCTATTCATCTTGACCCAGGCTCTTGCAGAGAGGCCCTAAGCAGTACCATTCACCAGATTCTCTTTACAAATAATCCCCAGCTAATAAAATAGTACATCGTCAGCTAGGTGCACTGCCTCAATCTTGACTAAATGAGAAAATAGATGCTGTTAGATTGGTACAAAATTGAATGCAGTTTGTTTATCAGTTTGTTTCAAAACAGTGGTGTCAAGTAGAAGGTCATCTTACAATGCTGACTGAACTGAAAGAACAAAAATTAGAATCTGGCTCTTTCAAAAATGAAGCAGTAGGAACAAGAAAACCTTTAAATTACTAGAATATCATATTCCAGTACCTTTCAAGCAGTTTTTAATCTTAGGTTTTCAGTTACTTTACCTTTCAGTTCAGTCTGGAATGTGTCTAATAACTGCTCAGCTTATTTTTATGGTATTAAGTTGCACTATTTCCAGTGACTAGTCAGGTATGCTGCCTGATGCTGATGCCTCCAGGGTATTTTCTCTGCCTTCAGATAACCTTCCATTGCGGGTCACCTTGGGGAGATGGCATTAATGATGTATCTATCACCTCAGTCTCACTGACGAATATTGTAAGTTGTCTAGTAGAGAAGCCTCCCTGAATCTTAAAGATTTTTTAATTAAAATTCTTCCTCCTGTTAAACAAACAAAAGCCAAATAACCTGAAGTTGTTTGCCCTACATAATAACCCATGTTGAAGATACTGAAGCTGTCTATAGTACCCCATGTAACATTTTTTAAAAATTAGACCTGGCAGATGTGAAATTTTTCTTGTGGCGGGGAAGGATACTTATATGGGCTGGGAAGGCACACAGTGTAGATACCACAAATTTAAATAAATAGCCAGAAGAAGACTTTATTGCCTTCCGGGTGAAGGCATAAGCTCATTCATAATCGGATAGTTTACCATCCTAATTTCTTACTGCCTTTCTTCACCTGAGTCCTGAAGGCCTCTTGGGTGAAATTATTTGTTAAAATGAGGGAGTCTTCTCTGGTCATGACATCACTGTTTAGAGCTGTCAGTAAGCAGTACTAGGGTTTTCTCTGTGACTTAGGGATTTCACTTCACAGCAAGGAGAGAAAAGTCTCCCCATTTCATTACAACAATGTGCTAAGTAAAAAAAAAAAAAAAAAACTTGGCCAAGGGTAGCTTTCAGCTCAATTCATAGAATAGTCCAAAGAGACTCTGAGAAATATAATAATAAGCAGGGATCTTTCCTACCGTGTTTCAATACCTACATAACCTATTGAAAGAGAACAATAGGTAAAACAGTTCCTAAAGTTGAAGTAAGAGCTTCATAGATTCTTGGTTACTTTATTTTTTTTAATGCTTTACATTTGATACAACTATTAAAGATCAATTTTAAAAAATAGCTTTCCAGTAATATATTTTAAGTAATATATATTTTAATATCTATGTAAAAAGTGACAGTGGAAGACTTTGAATTTCTCATATAAGGTATGTTTAATGTAGGACCTCACTGTTAAGGCACAAGTTATTTCAAAGAAAGTTACTCAAAGACACTCAGATTATTTCCAAAAAATAAATAAATGCAATAAGGGGACGTTTTGGAGTTTATTTTTTATTTTAAAAGATAATTGACTTATTTACCACAAGCTATTTTTTTTCCTTCTGGCTTAAAGGTTTGTAGAGACTGGTTTGGTAAATGCTAAACTTTTGTGTCTTTTGCCTTTTTAAAGGAATTGTTAACATTGGAATTGAGGGTATGTACAGAGAAGTTGGTGTCAACACCATTTAAAAACATATTTTTTCACAAGTATAGAAAAATCATTTTACATAAGAATTTTAAGTATTTGCAATAAATATATGTATATAGATTGTATGTATTCATATATTCTTATTTTTCATTTTATTATTAAGTAAAAGATAATTAAAGTGAAAATGAACAACCTTGGAGTTTTTGATGCATCTTGAGGTCTGACATACATGTGAAAGTGGTGTGGGTGAGGGCCCTCAGTTGTTGCCTTATACTACTATTGGAAGATTACCAACAGATTGCACAGAAGATAGTAAAATGAGAAATTTGTGATAAATCAGGGTAGTGTATTTCTTTCAGAACTCTAGTAAAAATATTACGTTCTCCCGATCTGTCTGTCTCTCTGCTTTCACCCTTAAATTTGTTTTCTCTCCTAACCACCTAATGTTACTGCTGGGAAAGTCAAAACAAAACATGGTGAATCCTTTTTTTTTTTTTTTTCCATTTATTTTTATTAGTTGGAGGCTAATTACTTTACAATATTGTAGTGGTTTTTGTCATACACTGACATGTAGTATGCTTCTAAGACAAAGAATGATAAGAAAATACCTGTAAGGGGGGAGGTAGGTTTTTCTTTTTCCACAATGGTTAATAACTCATTAACATTCTCTGCCATCACCTTCAGGCCATAGAGTTTACATGAAGAAATAATCTCATGAAGATAATAGAAATCATTCTGTTTCCCTTCTTTGAGAAGTGAATTTCATAGCCAGTTTTATGTCTTTCCCAATTGATCTGGAGATAGAAGGGCTAAGAAAACTTGAATGTTGCTCTTCTAATGCCAAGAAATATGTTTATGGAAATGAGGACTGAGCCAGATGTTAGAGGAGAGGTTAACCACATACTGGAGATAACCTGGAGTCCTGTTCTCCAGAAGTCACTTTGAGATTGTAAATATTTAGTTCTAGGATTTGACTGAGGAGCAGAGGATACCTAGATAGTCTTTGGAAATAAAGAAATATAGCCCATTCTTTAAAAATGAATAATATATAGCTTTATTGGCGACCTGAAAGGAAGTAAGGTCAGAGTTTGAAGAATATATTTTAATGACCTATGAAACACTTAATTGTAGTTTACTAGTTCTCTCCATAATTGCTGTGGTGATTTTCACTGATAAATGCAATTTTTGGAAATTAGAATATATAAAATACTTTTTTAAAAAAAGGAGTATGCTGCTTTGGGTGGCATGCAGGATCTTATCTTCCTGACCAGGGATAAAGCGCATGCTTCCTGCATTCAGGGTGCAGAGTCTTAACCACTGGACCACCAGGGAAGTCCCGAGAATGTTTTTCTAATAGATGGCCTTATTTTTAAAAATTGGAAACTCATACATAGGGTTGCCCAAACATGTTGAAAATAGACGCCTAAGAGAACAGCACTAAATCTTTGCTGAAAAACATTTCTAAAGGAAAAAAATCCTCAGGGAACATGTGCCTCGTAATTCCCATATTTAGTAGATAAGAATGAAGGTGAAATATTTCAAAGTGTGTGAACCAATTCATGATAACCATTTACAAGGATGCGCGCCCCCCCCCCCCCCCATTTCTGATGCATACTTACTGTTATTCCTACCTCACAGGAAGTAAAATTCACGTTCAGGTAGTGACATAGGACTTCAAGGACCGCAGTTGATTGAGAAAGCAATACACCGGAACACAGCTTCAACTTGGATCCCCAGCTTTCCTTTATTTGCGTCAAAGAGTCTTAGAAACCTGTGTTCATTGCTTTTTAACACTAGTTGACCAAGAGTGGCCTCCACAAATCAAATTTCAGTGTTTTCTAGTTGTTTCTGTACATAAATCATGATGTTCAAATATCTTTTGAACACCTATGTGCGAAGCACTGTGCTAAAGTTCTGGTTAAGCAAAGGTAAAAGCAGTCATGTAAAAGGCTTTCCTAAAGGAATAACTGTATAGCATAAGTCTAGTTCAGAGCTCAAGGAGTAATATATGCTATTTCCCAAGATACATTGGAAATTTAATAAGAGTAAATGAACTATGAAATAGAGGTCTCTGAGGCACTGAGCAAAGCACGATGGCAAAACATGAAGAAAGAAAAGAGGCATTGCCCCTGCATGAAAATTCAGTGTGGAAGTGAGCCAGGTTGATAAAATTTACCTCCTTTTGACAACTATCATTTGAAGAGCTAGAGATTAATAGAAATTTCAAGAAATCTCTTGGTAATACCTAGATTGAGAAAGTCATTCTGTTCAGTATGTCAGTAAAGGTACTTCATCTTATTTTCAACTAACAGTTTGGTAAATAGAGCAGTTTCCCTGTCAAACCCGAAATAAACTAAAGGAAACAAAAAAGCTTGATTTCCATCTTGTAGACTGGTGAGAAGGAAGTGTATTCATTTAAAACTTAAAAAGATATTTTCATCCCCTTTCCCCCTCCATTATGGAGAAAAATTAATGTTCTTTTTATTCTAGTATTGTAGAATTGACTCCCCCCCCCCCCCGCTTTCTACATAGAACTTGAATTAAAAGAGGCTTCAGTAGGACACTTGCCCTTATAAAGTGGCCTAAATCCTAATTCTTTCTGACTTTCCAGTAGAAAGATTTTAAAAGGATAAATGATTTTCTCAGTGCTTATTCTTGAACTTTCTTTACCTGGATTATGGGTTTGCAACTTGAATTTCTGTATTCCAAAATATCCATGTTCACCTTTCAGTCAAAAAGGTATTAGGTGTATTCCACCATGTAATACAGTCTCAAGTCTGTCCAGGAAGTAAGGGTAGATACCCTGTATTTTCCTTATACTTAATGACCTTAAAGAGAAAATTGGGTTCCTTTTATAAGGACTGTATAAACTAAGGAATCTGTACCACTGTGTATCTCTCAGTCTTAACCTAAAAAGGGCAAGCATGCCTACAAAGATTTCCTTGTCACAGACTAAACTTGGAAGAGAGAGCTGATCAGCTGTGGAGGTGGGCTGTAACTAGATAACCGACATTCTTGAAGAATAACTGCAAATTCAGCTTTCCTGGTTCTTCAAGCTCAAAAGAAACTAAAGGGAAAATCCTGATTTTCATCTTGGCTGCAAAGCCTAGTGAGTGCCAAGGGAAGAAGAAAGATAAATCCAAGATTGGATTTAAGATAGATTAAAACTTAAAATTATTTTTATCCTTTTACTGAAACTTCTTTTTTTTTTTTTTTAAGGTTTTGGATTCCTATAATGTAATGAATTGCCATGAGTGGAACATGGAATTTGATGTGAGGCATTTTGTGGGCTAAGTGATGGTTTTCTATTGAACCATATTATCTAGTGACAGCTTTTGCCACTGCTCAGCATTTAAGGTTGTGCACCTGTGGCTAAGTGATGCAGACATTGGCTCAGAAAAATTCTATATTAAACCAACTAGAGCACTTGGATCCTCTTTGTAAATAAATATTTAATATTCAGATTAGCCCAGTAAGAAAGCAATGCACTAAATGTTATCAAAATACCTGAAGATACTTTAGAACTATTATTATACACACAGTCTATGTCCTTCCTATGGAAAGTGTGGTATGTAAAATCTTTTATTTCTTGAGTCAGTTCTTTTAAAAAACCAGTGTCTAATGTTTTCAGATACCTAGAGCTTAGAAACACTGGAGTTAGATTTGAACTCCATGTCAGCCGTTGTTTTCATTTTAGATTTTCAGGCATAGTGGTTTGAAGGGAGCCCAGCTGAATCCATATGTAACCATTTTGAACAAGCTTTAAATTAATGAAATTCTTACAGAGTCTCAAAATTGGTTTCCTGTTTGTTGTATACAGAGACAGAATCTGTGCTGAAAAGGACCTGACAGTTTCACTCTGATAATAAACTTAGTGAAGAGCAAGTTTGTCATTAGAAAGTTTGTTACGAAATTTTTAGAACCCATGAAAGATCTAGAGTACATGATAAATGAAACTCTAGAAATTAAAAACTTTTAACCATAAGTGCTATGACCTATTTTTTTAAACCCATATTCTGAGAATCATTGCTCCATACCTTAAGACTTTCACCAGCACCAAGAGAAATCAGAATGGAAGAAATGACCTTAGTTGGTCTTACTTTAAAATTTTTGTACGCATCGGCCTTAGCACTTTGACAGATAAAGCTCTGCCTTTTAGCTCCTTCTCACTCTTGTCTTTATTCTTCCTACTTTTAGACTGTTCCTCTTATTGGTCATATAAAACTACCTTCAGGATTGAATGTATAATAAATGTTTCTGCACATGGACAAACTGTATTTTATCTTAATGACTCATTTTATGTTGAATAAAGGCATACAGTTTTACTCTAGTGACTGTGCCTTTTCTTTTCCAAAGAAACCAGACACCATATTGAATGACTCAGCTGTTTGTTTCCCCTTCCCCTGTACCTGATTGCCCAGCTGTTCCTGGGTCCTGGCTAAATTTGGGTATTACAGAGAGTGCCAGTCTCTTCAGGCAGCACTCAAAGAACTCAACATGAGCATTCACTCATAAAGAGTGAATGCATTTCAAAAATTAAAAGGAAACCGATACTACAAAGATACAGCGGTATTGGCATAAAGACAGAAATGGAAGCAAATAGAATAGAGAGCCCAGAAATGAACCTTCAAATACATGGTCAAATAATTTTTTATAATGGTGCCAAGACAAATCAATGAGAAAAGGGCAGTCTTTCAGTAAATGTTGGGAAATTTTGATATCCATGTGCAAGAAAATAAAATCAGACCCTTCTTCTACACCATACATAAAAACTAACTTAAGTGGATGAAAGACCTAAACATGGCTAAAACTCTTCAAAGAAAACAAGAAAAATCATAATTGGATTTGACAATGATTTCTTGGATATGATGCCAAAAGCACAGGTGACAAAAGATAAACTGGATTTCATTAAAAATTAAAAACTTGTGAATCAAAGGGCATTATCAACAGAAGACAGCCCACAGAATGGGAAAAAATACAATCATATATTTAAGTCAATTTTCAGAATATATAAGAAATTCCTACAACACAACCAATTTAAAAAGTACTTGAATAAAGGACTCAAGTAAAGAACTTGTATAGGTCTCCAAAAATGTACAGGTAGCCAATAAGCAAATGAAAATATGCTCAACCTTGCTAATTACTAAGGAAATACAAAACTACAATGAGATACAATTTCATATGTACTAGGATAGCTATATTGTCAAAAAACTGTTGGCAAGAATATAGAAAAACTGAATCCTTGTATTGGTGCATTGGAAATATAAATAGGTACACCAACTATGGAAAACAGTATAAATGTTTCTCAAAAAAATAAATGAAAGTACCCAATGATCCAGCAATTTCTGGATGTACACCAAAAAGAAATGAAGGCAGAAACGTATTTGTA